TACTATAATGATAGTAAGGAGGGCTGTGAGGTCTACTTGTTGCTGTATGTAGATGATATGCTTCTAGCAAGTTCAAGTAAGACTGAAATCACTAAGATGAAGAACCTTTTAAAATCAGAATTTGATATGAAAGATTTGGGGAGTGCTAAGAAGATTTTGGGGATGGTTATAAAGAGAGATAGGGCTGAAAATAGACTAGTCATTTCCCAAGAAGCCTATCTAAACAAAGTCATAACCAAATTTGGTATGAATGGATCAAAATCTGTGAATGTTCCCTTAGCAGCTCATATGAATCTTTCTGGTGCACAATCTCCTAAGACTGAGGAGGAATTTAGAGAAATGAGGAACATACCCTACGCTAATGCTATAGGTTCCGTCATGTTCTCTATGATAACAACCAGGCCTGACTTAGCCTATGCTATAAGTTTCCTGAGCAGATTTATGTCAAACCCAGGAAAGCCTCATTGGGCAGGTTTGAAATGGTTGTTAAGGTACATTGTTGGTACATTAAATCTGGGTCTAGTGTATGAAAAGAGATCTGAAAAACTTACTCTAAAGGGATATGTAGACTCTGATTTTGCTGGTGACAAGGATTGCAGAAAGTCTACCACAGTGTACTTTTTTACACTAGGTGACAATTGTGTGACATAGAAGTCACAGCTGCAGCCTTTAGTTACTTTGTCAAGTACTGAGGCAGAATATGTTGCCATAACTGAGGCGGTTAAAGAATGTACTTGGTTAAAAGGAATTTTAAAAGAATTGAACTTCATGCATGATACATCTGTTATGTTTACTGATAGTCAAAGTGTTTTATTGCCTTGTAAAAATCCTGTTTACCATGAAAGAACTAAACATATTGAGGTAAAGTATCATTTTATACATGAGAAACTGTCTCAAGGTGAAGTTAATCTTGTTAAAATTCACACTGATAGGAATCCCTCTGATATGGGAACAAAAATTCTACCTGCAAGTAAATTTAGATTGTGCTTATCTTTATTACACATTGACACTGGTTAATTTTCTTGCAGGTGGTGGGCGATGATGATGAACAGTTCTTCCATGTGCAAATTCGCAACCAAGAGAGAGTGTTAGGAGAACCAAGGTGAAGAATGTGAGGATATGGTTCACCTAACACTATCAACTTGTGACTTGATGGTATTGATGTTGACACAATAAGGTCTTCCCCTTTTTGGCAGAGGCATGGTCTTCCCTTCTTATGTAGACTTACCCTCTACCATTTGAAGTAGAGTAGCTCTCGATTTTGTTCTCCCAGCTGAAAGTGAGCTCTCGTTTTTTAGCAAAGGGTGGTGGTTCTTCATTGGTTTTCCCCTCTCTCTTGGAAGGTAATTAGCAAGTCATGGAAGGCTATTCCTGAGCCTGAAAAACACCCATAAATTGAAGAAGCCGCTGAAACGAAGAAAGAAAACTGCAGAAATTCCGGCCGAACACAGGTTGTATTTTTCCATCCCCTTTTTTCTTTGTTTTGCCTTGAATCTTGTCTATTGGTTGATGTTTTGGTTGATTGAACTCCTAGGATCCCCAACAATGTTGTGTCACATAACCCGACACTCTTACGAAATACATTGGCAACTCATGATGAGAACTTCCATTCCAACGATGTGGTTTTTCCAGACCAGCAACTGCTCCTTGTCACCTCCTTCCGGCCAAGCCAATTGAATTGCTTTCCAAAGGCAGTTTATAGGATAGATTTCTTGTCTTAATTTGATAACATGGAGGTTCTTAGTGATCTGAATTTGGTTTCTTTACTGGTAATTCCATGACCGAAGACTGCCGATGAGTGTGACTACATTTGTACTTAAAATTAAAGTTTAATGACTTCGGAGTGTGTTTGAGCCCCATTATTTGACATTATAATGAGATGAATAATATTTTTTTGAAAAATGAGTGGTTGAATTTTTTTTGATTTACCTGTAATATTATTTTATTGAAGATTGTGTGGTTAAAAGTAGAAGAGAGAAAATTTTAATTTAATGTAATGAGAAATAATGGAGCTCAAATGGGGGCTTGATTGCATCGAATTAAGCCCGTCTGGTAGCCATTTTTTGGAAAAATATTGTTTTGAAAAGTGAATATTTGAGATTGTATGATTCAAAAGTAAGAAAAAATTTTGAGTTCATGTTTATAATATTTTAATATGTGAATGTTTAGTTGAAAATGAATACGTGGATGAAAAAAAAAAGTTTAAAGAATGGAAGAGCACTAGAGCATTTAGCCCATGTTTGATCCCATTTTTGAGGTAAAATTGTGATTTTTTGGAGAATGTACGATTAAAAAAGTAAAAAAAATTTATTTTATTAGAGAATATATGATTGAAAATGAGATTTGAGAAATTTCATTCTTGAATGGGGGCTCAAACAGAGCTTAATCTAATTTTTTTCCTAACAAAATCAAGTAGTAGATGCTGCATACGTGTCGATATCTTATAGGTTTCTAAGATTTGTATGTGATAAGAGTTTTCCCCTTCGCAAAATAATTTTATTTGTTAACAGCCGTTAACCACCGAAAAAGCCTCCCGCCGCTTCTCAATAAAGCTATAACCACCACTTTGCCGCCGTGGAAAATTAACCTTCGGAAATCCAAAAATGGCATCATCCAGTGCGCTCTCGCAGCTCAACAATTTGAATTCACGAGTCGTTATCTCTACTGTCCATGAAAATGCATTTCGCAGAAGAAATGCAAGATTTCGAATGGCAGCGTCAAGTAATAGTGGAAGTGGAGAAGTGGCAGTGGCATTCGTGTGTCCCCCCCCCCCCCGGATTTTTAAGATTATGGGTTTGAATTATTTGGTGTTGATTTCATTTTGATGAAAAAAAAATGAAATTTGGATTTGGGTTGGAACAGTACAGCTGAGAAAACCAACATTCCGTGGAGGGAAATGACAAAGGAGGTTTTGGAATCGGATGTGTACCGGAAGCTGGAGACCATTGAGGACGGCTCAATTGTGTATCCTGATTGTAATTTTTTAAATTTTTAAATTTTTCTTTATTCGTGTTTTCACAGTTCTATTGGATTCAAGTAAATAGATTTCATTCACATGATCATATTCAAGTTTAGTAATGGATAATGCCATAATGGACTTCTCTATCTTTTCATGTATTGATATCAGAATTTTATCTCCTGAATGTGGTTATATTTCTTTTCTTTTCTAAACACAAACTTCTAAGTTTTCACTTGAGATCTTCTTATGTCTCTTGTGCGTTAAAAGCTATGAGATGATTCATTATGTCTGTTGAGATTTAGATTTAATGATATCGCAGTATATTTTTGTTGTTTCTTTGTGTGCCTTGTGTTAAAATCATAGAGAATCTTGATTGGGCATTGGGAAAGAAAATTGTTGACTCGCTTTAATTTTACTGAAAAATGCTTATCATAGTTTCACTTTAACAGTCCATTTTAACTTACTAAAATAATCCCTGGTTATAAATTTTACCCCAACTACTAAACAGCGTGCAGCATATAGTTATTCTATCTGACAACTCATATTGATGCTTAAGTAGTTATGAGAATCTCAGAGTAATCAGTCTTAGCTATTTGCCAGTGAAGAGATAGTCATATATTCATTATTTTAATATGATATAAAATTATGAAGTAAAATTATATGATACTGAGGCAAATGGGGCATAACCTATGTACATTAGTAAAATCTATTTGAAATATATATGCTGTGAGAATTTCCATATGGAAGTGTGCCACTAAGGACATAACTCTTACATCGTTCGAAGTTCAAATAGGAAGAAAACATCCTGACAGCTCGCTTTTTATTTAACTCTTTTACTATGAAAATGCAATTTCATATCCTTCTCATATTTCAGCTGTTCTAAAACGAAAGGAGAAATGGAAAAATTATTGAAGAGAATCCTCTCAGAATCTACAAGTTAAGCTTAAATATAATTGGCACTCATAAACTAGCATCTTATTTTTTACCTGGATTTTGTTAATTGGAAATTTGAAAGGATTTTAATGGCGTCTAGATTTATTTATGCAGATTATCTCAATCCATTTCATGCATATGATGAGGGAAACCTTTCTTGGCTGGTAATTGGTGAATGATTCTTCTCCTGTAAACTTAATTTATCTGCTTTGATATACTCCTGTCTATCTCAAATCAGTCAACAGCTTCTTTTATTCTTCTCTTTTTTCGATTGATAATGCCTAATGGGATTGGGGTCAAGAAGGTCAAGAATATCATTATTTTACTTGTACTTTTGTAATACTTCAGAGTCACTGATGCAGCACCGATAGGATGATTAATAGAAATAGAAGAAAGATTCAGAAAGAATGAGGAATTAATGGAGGGGATAGAAGAAGAATTCAATAGAAGAAGGGGAGGGATGCGCCATAAGCCACCAAAATAATTATTCATTCATCATCAACTGAAAGTTACAATGCAAAATAGGTTTAAATAGTAAAGCAACCCTAACGAGTTTGGGCTCGAGTCCATACAAGTCCAAATTTAAATAATAGTCCAAGAAAATAAATAAAGCTTAAATAAAATAAGTAAACGTCGTCCGATGTCCTCATCAACTCTGTTGGGGTGGGAGAAAAACTCGACCCTATCGAGTTGATAGATATTATAGGCTGCAATCAATCTAATACTCCAAATGCTTCAAGTCAAGCCACGGGGGACAATCTTAATGACGAACCAAGTAACGAAATTCCATAATTGATAGTACTGAAAACTGTAGCTTATTCCCAAGAATATGATCTGACCAAGGGGGCCGATCTTTCCTTCTAACCAAGTACTGATACTGGACTTCAAATAACCAATACTCATGCACAACATTTTCACATGATTGTACATAATGAGGAGTATAAGAAGTACGTCGATCTACCCAACAAACAAGAAAGTACTGAATTTTGCCATCATTGGTCAATACAACACGTTCATCTAAAATAACATCAATTTTATCTTTGTGTGCTGTGATAGATGATATTAAAGTAGAAATATCTATATAGTCAAATTGGGGGTCCACAAAGTTAGGTAGAAATGGATCATCAAAGGAAGTAATACGGTATTTGTAAGTAATGAAGTCCTCAATATTTAAAGCAGAGTGGTAGCTAAAATGTGATGAAAGGGCAATGACATGTGCATTTGAACCAACATGCTTTAAAATTTTTAAAGGACCAGCACTACAAGCTTGCAATAAGACATAATCCCCAATATTAAATTCAAAATATCGTTTATGCAAATCAGCTTGAAGTTTATATAATGCATTACTTGTGTCATGTTGTTTATTGATCTCAATATGCAAGTCATGAAGATGATATACAAATGCTTCAGCTGACAACAACACACTAGCATGCGGGGACATGAGAATAAGATCTAACGGTCGCCTAGACTTATAATTATGAACAACTTCAAATGGATTTAGACCTAGAGACCGATTCATAGAATCATTATATGCGATGTGAACAGTAGGGGGGATCGAGTCCTAATTCTCAAGATTTTTCTGGACTAGAGACTCTTACAGTTGATACATAGCAAATGAGAAGTCTTTGGAGTTTCACAAATTATACCCTTATTTTCCAAAATTGGAGGAACACTAGACGGAGGAGGTCCTAGAAGGGACTTAACAAGAGGAAGTGGAGCCAATGAAACCAAAGGATGATTGTTGTTACGCTTTCTACATGAAGAAGATGACCTTGGGCTATCACGACCTTTACAGCTGATACATAGCAAGTGAGAAGTCTTTGGAGTTTCACAAATTATACCCTTATTTTCCAAAATTGGAGGAACATTAGATGGGGGAGGTCCTAGAAGGGACTTAACAGGAGGAAGTGGAGCCATATTAGACGGGGGAGGTCCTAGAAGGGACTTAACAGGAGGAAATGGAGCCAGTGAAACCGAAAGATGATTGCCATTACGCTTTCTACATGAAGAAGAAGATCTTGGACTATCACGACCTTTACAATTATTTTTCCAAATAGGAGGAACATTAGACGGAGAATGTTTTATGATAGACTTATGATGAGGCGACGCTAATGAGATGGGTGGACGACGATGACGGGGACTTAACAGGAGGAAGTGGAGCCATATTAGACGGGGGAGGTCCTGGAAGGGACTTAACGGGAGGAAATGGAGCCAGTGAAACCGAAAGATGATTGCCATTACGCTTTCTACATGAAGAAGAAGATCTTGGACTATCACGACCTTTACAATTATTTTTCCAAATAGGAGGAACATTAGACGGAGAATGTTTTATGATAGACTTATGATGAGGCGACGCTAATGAGATGGGTGGACGACGATGACCACGCTTTTCATATGGAGTATTAATAATCAACTCATAATCTTGAGCTAAAGAATAAGCGTGATCAAGAGTAGTGACACCTCGAAGGAAAAGCTCGCGCTTAAGATCATCTCTCAGACCTTGGCTAAACCTACTCAAAGTCATACTTTCATCCTTAATTAAATGACATTTGGTTTGAAATTCCTCAAATTGCGCGATATACTCACTCACTAATTGATTTTCTTGTTTAAGGGCATTCCATTGAGTAAGAATTTCAAAATTATCTCGTTCTCGCTTACGAATCTGATCCTTATTCCTACGATCGCGTCGAAAATATTTTTGATCACTTTGTCCACGATGATATTGTCTACTATGAGACGCTTCAGAATTAGTGTCAGTTAAACGAGAGGTTCGCTTAAAATTGCTTAACTTAGCAACTAGGTTCTTTCTCTCCTCACGAGTAGCAGTTATATCTGATTGGACAGTCGATAGGCTAGTGGCAAGTTGCGCTAGTTGTCTAGTGAGTGCATCAAATTGGGATGGATCCATGGTCAATGTATTGGAAATAGAGATGACAAGACGACCGCTATACAACTACATGCAATATAATACTAGCTAAATGACGTGTTATGATGAGATCAGTGAACAATACGTGCAAGTAATGGAAAATAACTTGTACCATTTTTTTTAATTTAATTTTAAATATTGGGATTAATTAAATCCAAAACAAGCTAATACTGCTAGTACATGTAAAATGGTAAAACAAGGGTCAACATTAGTCAAATTCTCCAATCAATTTAAGTGGGGAACAATGGAAGTCATTTCGGTTACTAGTGTTAATTCGATTAATGGTTTTGATCAAGTGAGATTTAAGGCTAAAATTATCATAATAACAGCGGCATAAGATTTTAATTGATGCAATTTTAAAAATGAAGCAGTAGTATAAACCAATACTAAATAGAGATCAAGGACTCCCTGTTGTTTAGTTTTGATTATTTGTATGCCGCTTGACCTGAATTGCCGACTTATAAGCCTCAACTATACTTCTGTTCTTCCATTCGTGTCCAATGGTTTTAACCTCTGCTGACTGTAACTTGTGCTGGCTCTGGTGTGGACGTAAAATTGAGTGTGGTGATTGTGACTTTTAGATTGTTGAGATGGACGAGGAAATATATGAGTGTGGTAACTGTGGTGGAAGTGTATGATCTTTGGTTGGTGGTGGTGGCCTATGACAATGAAGCGGCAGTGCTCTAGATGCCTGGGTATAATAGATAATGAAGTAGTAGCGTGATGGTGATTAAAGGCGATGACAGCAAGAGAGTGGTTGTGAGAGAGGAATCGAGTGAAACTGTGGGGTATTTGATGTTAATGGATTGGTTATAATCGGGTTTGGTCGGATATTTGGGACTAGGCCAGATGGGAAGGGGTTTGGATCCTGTTATAGAGATGGGCCAGCTGGGGTTAGTGTTTGGAGAGTGGGCCTGGGTCGTAAAGAGTAGGCTGGGTTAGTTGGGCTAAATTGGCTTGAATGTTAGGGTTTGGGATTTGTGGAACAACACCACAATTTTTATTTTTTTTTTTTAGCAGCAGCAAAAAAAAAAAAAAAAAAAACGAGAAATATATATTTTTTTTTTGGGCGTGAACAGTAACTTTTTTTTTATAAGAAACTGACCAAAATACTAAATTGAAATTCTGTGTGAACAGTACCCGAGATGAACAGTACTTTTTTTTTTTCAACTAAGACTCAAAATTGAAGAAGAAGAAAAAAACTGCTGCCTTTACCAAAAATTTTTTTAGTTCGTGCTGTTCCAACAGATTTTGGGAAGGAAATATGAATAAATTTTGGATTAAAGAAAAGAGATTACCCATGATTCGGCTCTGATACCAAATTTGATGCAGCACCAATAGGATGATTAATAGAAATAGAAGAAAGATTCAGAAGGAATGAGAAATTAATGGAGGGGATAGAAGAAGAATTCAATAGAAAAAGGGGAGGGATGCGCCATAAGCCACCAAAATAATTATTTATTCATCATCAACTGAAAGTTACAATGCAAAATAGGTTTAAATAGTAAAGCAACCCTAACGAGTTTGGGCCCGAGCCCATACAAGTCCAAATTTAAATAATAGTCCAAGAAAATAATTAAAGTTTAAATAAAATAAGTAAACGTCGTCCGATGTCCTCATCAATCACAAAGCAACTTTTGTTGTTATCTATGGTTTTCTTTAGAAAAAAATGCTTGACCTCTTGTAATTGACTTCTGGAGAAAATCAAGAATATAAACAAGATTTATTTTAGTAATAATTTTAAGAAGTTATTCTGTTTTAAAATGATGTATCTGCAACAGGCTGCAGCAGAAGCAGAACCTGCAACTATGTCAATGGTGAGACGAGCGATACCTTATGCTTCTTCGCTTGATGAAGCAAATCAAATAGTCCGTGGAAATTGGCTTCAGGCTATCGAAAGTCATCATCAGAAACATTCAGGAAACTCCTCAATTAGTGACATTATTGACATTGGATGCTCTGTTGGAGTGAGCACAAACTTTCTTGCTGACAAATTTCCATCTGCCAAAATTACTGTAAGTATGAATTATGTGTATACCATTTCAAGCATGCCACAATTTCTGTAGATATTGGACTGCTGGCAACAATAAGGATTAACGTAATGGGCAAACTCAATGAATTGTAGTTCTCGTATTAGACATGATTTCATTGTTGGTGCTTTACCCAGATTTCTGTGTGATGTCCATCCTGGGTCATACTTATTGGTCTTTGGTCTGCATCTTCTGCAGGGACTGGATTTATCACCTTACTTTCTTGCTGTTGCTCAATTTAAGGAAAAGAGAAGCAACCAGAGAAAAGATCCAATCAGGTGGATACATGGAAATGGTGAAAACACAGGCTTGCCTTCAAAATCTTTTGACCTTGTCTCAGTTGCTTATGTGGTATGTTGTGTTTTCTTGAAAACTTAAAAACTAAATTACATTTGTAATTAGCTTTCAAGAGAAACTAAATGCAGATATGACTAATACAAGAACCCCCCCCCCCCCCCCCCCCAAAAAAAAAAAAATTGTATTATTATTTTTATATGAAACACATCAATTTTTCTTTTGTTGAGTGATGATGGGATTGAAAGGATATGAACATAGAAAAGATATGAAATAAGAGATGATTTAATTTTCTATTATTGAAACGTAATCCTGCTTATAGTTTTTTTGCCCAATCCATGCTAACTTTGGATAGAAAATTCTTCCTATGGCAATTCGTTGAAAATCATATTCTCACGTCCACTAACATGGCTATTTCCTTGAATAAATTCAGGAAATGAGTATAGTGCAGAGAATCTTATTACACTAGTAAGGGAAGATTTACATCAATATAAATCTTGTGATATTCATGTTTTGACTTTTACTATTGGCGCTTCGGTAATTGGCTAATTTGGAAGCTAGAATATCTCGTACAGTAAGAAAATATGCCATACTAAAAGTTTCTCCTTGGTCAGAGTATGAACTCCATCTGAAGAATAACGGAAAGGAAACTTCCCTATCAGGATATGGTCAAGCTTTCCATATTATTTTGATGGACTTGTGGAAAAAAGATATTTTGCGTGCATGTTATCATTTACATGGTTTGATCCGTCTCAAAACAAAAGAAGTGGATAAATTGCTATAATTGAGTTAAAAAAAAGAAGAAGAAAAAAAGAAAAAACAACTTGTAAAAGTAGTTATAGTACTTGTCTTTCCTTGAGTGGTAAAGGTAGGACGTCAACCTTATATGTTAACACAAGGGGTTGAAGTCTAAAATAGGGAAGAAAACAGGCTCTACTTATAATTTTTTCCAACTCCATGTATTTATTGCTAGTGGTTGGCTATGAGATCTTATGGAACAACGTTCGTAGCTTGATTCTTGGCAGCTTTTGGAGACCTTTTTTAAAGCATGTATTCCTTTCCCTGACTCTGTTGTGCTGTTGCAGTTTCACGAGTGCCCTGAAAGAGCAATTAAAAATATAGTGAAGGAAGCATTTCGGCTTCTTCGACCTGGAGGCACTTTTGCTGTGACTGATAACTCGGTAAATAGCTTTAGAATATTGCAAATAGTGTTCATCTTTTATGTAATGTAATAATATATCATACCAGACCATTTCTTACATTACTTTCCTTTTGTTCTCTTTTGCAGCCAAAATCAAAGATTCTTCAGGTATGTTTTGTTTGTTGCTTTGTCAAGTTTTCTTTTGGCTTTTCTTCATCATGTGATCAAGCTTTCCATTATCACTCATGATGAAAACATCTGGATCTCGCTTTTCTAAATTCTTAGACCAAAAGAGAACAATGGTCGGAAGATGGTGACATTTTGGAAACATTTCGTAAACCTGAAAATATTTAATCATGGGAGCATCAGCAACCTTTTATGAATGGAATATGAAATCCTTACAGTTCTAGACTAACTGAGTTAGCGTCCTTAATGTTCACGTATTACAGGAACTATCACCGGTGTTATTTACATTGATGAAGAGCACTGAACCTTTTCTGGACGAATACTACCTTACGGATCTTGAAGGTAGCATGCGAGAAATTGGTTTTGTCAACGTGCAGACTGTTATGACAGATCCAAGACACAGAACTGTAACTGCCACTGTGCCTTCCTGATATGTGTCATCCTCTTGATTGTGCTCATGGAGATCATGAAACCATTATAGGAGCAAGAAATTTCTTGAATTCATGCCCTAATATTTTATGTACACACTTGCATACTGCAAGTATAGATTGACGAGAAAATGTTAATTTTGTAACAAGGCAGAAATGCTGGTGGAATAGTTTGATGCAATGTCAGTTTCTGATGAAAGAAAGTTTTCATATTATACAAAGTTCAAGGGCTTTTGCTCAACACGGAGGTATATAAACCTCAGGTTAGGGGGACCGAGTTCCATCGGATGTTGGGTGCATAGCGGACATCAAGCAGGCTCAAGGTTTGGCCATGATGCATTACTAATTTGCAGGGACAATAACTTTGAACCTCAACTTGCAAGTTATTGCCTACTTAAATCCATCCGCTTCCTTTGAAAGTTGACCTTATTTCACATATAATCTGTTAGAAACTTCAAATAAGATTATTTGTTACGGGGAATGCTCTTACACACCTCAAGAAAATGAGACAACCTTGATTAAGAACTATTTACTTTTTCTGAGAGTTCATTTTTCGTAATCTCTTATGGAGAGAAGACTTCGGTTTGAACTAAAGAACCTAATTTTTCGACTTTTTGATATTGATAGCTTCTTAAATAAGTTATGCTATTTAATTTCATTGGAGTTATAACTCCAATTTATAAAGCACTAATGTAACATTAAATGATATGTGAAATTAAATGGATAATTTAATTTCACATTTCATTTAGTCTATCACCTACAACCATATAGACTGGGATTATAATTCTAGTGGGGCTAAATAATATTATTCTTTTTTAAATTGTTGCTATGAAAGGATTGCATCCTTTTATCTTTGGTAACAAGATTAATTTATGGAGTGGATGAGAATCAATCAATTAATTATTTGTACTTATTTCAGTGAATAATATTATTCGTAGTGGGTAAGGCTGGGCATTGTCCAGTTTGGTTTTAACAAGAACTCAATTGGACCTGAAATTTTTGAATATTTAGTAAGTGGAATCGTCAGGTCCAAATTTAATTATAGAACCGTTCGAGTTCTGTTCCATTTGGCTCTCGGGTTCTATACTATAATTAATTTTTTGAATAGTTATAAAATTACATTAATTCAACTAATGACATGTTCAATCTTAAACTCTTACAAAATAATGTAGTCTAATTTTATGTGTTTTTTTTACATTTTTCTTTATTGAGTTCTTCATAGATTTAATTGTTAAAATCACAAAAAGTGAAAGATAGCGAGTTCACAATAATTAAGAGAGTCACTGTTAAGTTTCAATTAGATTTCTTCAAAAATGTAGAAACGGCATTACGGTATAATAATATATTTGGATAAAACTTAAGTCAATTTGATTAAGTTAGGTTTGGATTGAAAATTAGAAAAAAAATAATCATATTTTTGAGTTTGAGTTAAATTAACTAGTTAGCAAATTTATTTAAAATAAAATAAAATAATTTGATTTATTTAGAATAAATAAATAAATAATTAGGGAAATTCAGTTTTTATTAAAATTTTCAGTTCTTGATCTACAATCGAGAATTGAACTGAACCCGTCGATTCTTGATTCAAATACCAATTCGGATATTTAACTTGAAAATTGCTCAATTCGATTCGAGTCCTATTTGATTGGTTCAATTCGAGAGTTTCGCCCTATCCCTAATAGCGAGTGGCTACACATTCATTCTATGTGTCATCCTATTTTGACATGATTTTGATAATTAAAAAAATGAAACAATCAAATAGATTTTCTTATTCAAGCAAAATTATACCGAAATAGGATGCCACGTATGATGAATATTGTAGATACTCATTTAGAATATCATTATTCTATTTCAATAGGTCAAATAAAAATCTGTGCGTATCAATATTTCACCTTTTATTGGTAATTCCATGACTATATAAAATACTTAAGGGGAGTTACTTTAAAATATTCTTATGTATTATGGCGAACTATAAATCTTTAGTTTTAAAAATAAACTTTAATAAATTATTGATATTTTGAATTACCCTTTTTCTTAATTTAAAAAACAATGCGTGAAATAGTTATAATTAATTTCTACAATATTAAAAAATCTAACGTATAAAAATGGTCTAACTTGGTCAAGTTAACCTAGTAGTACTATTTATCTTAGAGTCAAAGCGTATTCTAGTACACGTGTCAAGAACCCATGTCCAAAACAAAAGGGGAAGATCATCTCAAATTTTCTCTATTATACCGCTGCTGGTTTATTACAGATTATTATAATTTAATTTATCAAAGATTTCTGCTTCTGGTGGCCAATTTTTTTCTCTGTATGTGCCTTTGTTTATTCCTTTTACACTTTCACTAATTATTTATCATTGTTTTCTGATGAATTCTGTTTAGATATGTGTAGTTTTTTCAAGTTTCTTGATTGTTTTTCTGGCTCAGATCATCTCAAATTTTCTCTATTATACCGCTGCTGGTTTATTACAGATTATTATAATTTAATTTATCAAAGATTTCTGCTTCTGGTGGCCAATTTTTTTCTCTGTATGTGCCTTTGTTTATTCCTTTTACACTTCCACTAATTATTTATCATTGTTTTCTGATGAATTCTGTTTAGATATGTGTAGTTTTTTCAAGTTTCTTGATTGTTTTTCTGGCTCTGATCCTGCTACTGATCATATACTTTTCCTCCTCTCTGATGGAAAATTGATGCTCAAACATAGTTTAATTTTTCTGCAAAAATAATTATCTGTCGTGTGTGGATGTGGTTTCTTGTTTATGCAGTATAATTAATTGTTTTCTCGGAAAGTATTGAATTTGGGTAAAGTTTTTGAGTTTATTTTTTTTATTTTGAGATTGACTTATGGCTTTGGAATACTTTTTCTGGAAATTGGGTATAAGTATAATTTTGGTGAAACAAAAAGAGGTATTGTGGTATCTTTGATATTAGGGAACCTTCAAATGACTTTTGATATCTTTCAAGAATCTTTCCATTGCAATAGAAGTATGAAGGAATTATCCCAATTCATGAAAAGATTTCTTACAAAGTTGTCTTTTTGGTACAAAGTTCTATCTATGGAGATTCTATATTATCTTAGCATAAATGGATTTCTGAGTTTATTCTCCGAAGTTACATGATAGAAAGGGAATTCTCTCCGAAGGTATTCTGTGTAATGTTGTTATTGCCTTAGGTCTTCAGCGGTAACAAATGGCAAAAAAGTGCCAGCAGATTTTGGCAGTCTTTTTTACCGGTTCTGCGAGTTATTTTGTTTTGTTCGATTATAAATGAAAAAGTGAAATATGTGTTGATTATTTGTTCCTGTTTGGTAAGTATTTGTCTTATCTGGTTTGCTAAAGAGGAAGGTCGAGTGTGGGCGCACGTCAATGACATGATTCATAATTATTCCAATTATTTGTTTGATGCCGAGTTTTCACGTTTTAGCCAAAAAAAAAAAAAACACCCAATTCTAGCAGGTACATACTCACAAGATATTTAGCATATGCTTTGTTTTTTTGCCAGGATGATTTTTTTGTTAGCGGTCTATGTGGGTTTATTTAGGTTGATCAGTTATTGCTCTGATTTCTTTATTGTCCTTGACTGTTTCCGAAAAATAAATTCCTGTAGTTTCCAGGGTTGCAAATTGTTTTCTTGAGTTGGCGTGTCCAATGGAGTTAATAGTAGGAAAATCATTTTCTTAACATTATGAGAAGACATATTGCTGAAGGTTGATGCCGGAGTTTCTTTCATTTTCCTAGACAATTCTACCTCATGATGCCTCACTATACTGTACCATGAATTGATTCCGGAACTTTGGGCATTTCAGTTTCCTGCATATTAGCGGGAGTTACACAATATTATGCATTGCCCTTTTGGCGACAATGCCTGTTAATTTTGAGCTCATTAAATCTGAAGCTGTTCTCTTATTGCCTAAAATCAGTTTGTAGCATTAATTGGGAGAGGATGCTCCCGTATGTGTTATTGGAAAATGAAATAAAAAGAACACATAATTGTCACCTATCCTGTAAATAATGCACTGGAACTTTATGAAGTTGAGTAGGGCATAATGATAAGTGAATTCAATCAATAACAGATAGAAACATGTATACGTTCTTGTGTATTGACTACTAGGAGCAAACTTGCTCAAAGGTTTTAGATTCATGTTGTGTGAATGTGCATTTTTTATATCAAAAACTGGATAGTTCAACCTGCTAATGAATTTGGCATTCATGCTTTTAGTACTCTACTACTTGACACATTATCATTCTATAATTTTCATGAACTGTGAACACTGTTTCTCTGTTATGTTGGCTGAAAGGATGTCAAGATCTTGATATACTTTCTTGTTATTAATGTTGTATTTAAAAATACACTATTATGTTGTGGATTATGAGAATTTAAGAACTCTCATATATTTTGCTATCATCTAAGAACACATATTATATTGGTATACTTGTGAAAAGTTCATAGATCCTCACCTTCCAAGACTCATTCTAGATTACTTAAACATATGGCAGAGTAATTATGCAAAGTTCAAGTCCTTCTCAGGAGTTGGTTGAATAATCTATCAATTAGTTACTTTGAATTGCTTGTGTACTATCTTATCACGTGATGGTCTGTTTCATTATTAGAGACCTCTTTTTTTGCAAGGAAATCACATCAACTATGCTGAAAATTCTTATTGTACATGTGATTATTTATTTTTGGCATTTTCATTCCATATGGATTTTGTAGTGGAATAATAACTTCATTGTGGAACTTGGGCTGAGGAGAGCTACGCGACATTGAACTTTCATGCCATGGAGTTTAAAGGTATAACCTGGGCTGGAAATATATACCAGAAGTTTGAAGCTATGTGTTTGGAGGTGGAAGACGTTATGGTCCAGGTAAAGATTCCTCTTCCCATCATTTTAGCTTTACTCTCTAGGCAATCCTCTCATGAGCCAGAGCCTAAGGCTCCTTATTGACAGTTCAATAGAAAAAGGCGTCTTACATTCCAATTGTTTTGAACTTTCCATTCTCGAATCGAATTTCATGCAACTATTTGTGAAATGAACTCATGATGTTTAAGTTTGACTTTGAAATTGGAAGAAGCGATGAAGAAGTGACCAGAAGCCCATGTGTCGTACTCACATGCTTTTGTTGGGGCCCTATTTAGCTTATTTCTCTCCTTTTACTGTTTGCTCTTTTTTAGGAGATATTATAGTGTGTTTAAGGAGCCAAGATAAGTTGTTGGCACGTTGCACATGGAGACCCTCATCACAAATGTGGTGAAGTATATTTTCATCCTTTTAAGACAAGACATGTTCAAGCCCTATTTTCTTGGGAAGTCATATGTCAGCCTATCTGTGTTGTGTCATGTTAGTGTCTAGTGTGCTTATCCGTATCCTTGCTTCGTAGATCTGTGTTTTCCTTCTATTATAAGCATAAGCATTCGATGAAATTTTGCTTATTCGCGTGCAAAGTTTACAACATGGTATTAGCTGTACAAGACCTTCCTTTGCACTAACAGCATCATAGTTCCATTTTGCTACTGTAGGTACATTGATAATATTTTAGTCTTGCCCTTCTTTCTTCTCTTGAGGATGACAAATGTATTCAACTTTTGTTTTTGACTCGATGATCCTCATTGCGAGGGTTCCTTTGTATATATAGGGATAATAAGGCATATGACATGGCTGAATGTCAGCCACCACTGTATATGTATGAAAAATGAGTAATTCTCTACCAATTATACAAAGCATCTTTTCTAATTGCTGGCTATAAATTAGTTTTCCTATCTAATTGACATCCCCCTTCAAATTGATGCTGGCGATCAAGAAGCATCAATTTGCCCACAAGAAAGAGATGATGTTGTCGTGTCATGGCTTTGGTGAATATGTCGGCAATCTGAAGATCAGTAGAGATATGTGGAAGAGAAATAATATTTGCCTCAGAAGCCTCTCTAATTGAGTGATAATCCACTTCGATATGCTTTGTACGTTCATGATATATTGGATTTGAAACAATTTGAATAGCACTCGTGTTGCCCGCATGAAGGGGTGTAGGATTGGATTGAGGAAAGCTAAGTTCAGCTAAAAGCCCACGAAGCCAAATAATCTCAGAACAAGCAGCGGACATGGCACGATATTCAGATTCAGTTGAAGATTTAGACACACGAGCGTGCTTTTTACTCTTCCAGGAGATCAAAGAATCACCAAAAAAATACACCAACTCGTAACAGAACGGCGAGTATCTGGGCATCCAGTCCAATTCGCATCACTAAATGCATCAAGATGAATGGGAGAGCCAGAAGGAAAAAAAATCCACGTTGAGAAGTACCTCCGAGATACCGAATTATGCGACGAACGGCCCCAAGATGAATATGTCGTGGAGCTTGCATAAATTGACTGACTTGCTAAACTTCGAATGATATATCAGGCCTAGTGATGGTCAAGTAGTTGAGGCTCCCAACTAATTGACGAAAGATAGTAGGATTGGGAAGGAGGTTACCCTCCTCACTACGATATTTAACATTGACTTCCAGAGGAGCATTGACAAATGAAGAATCTTGAAAACCAGCCAAAGTGATCAAGTCCTGGATGTATTTGTGTTGGTTCAAGGATATACCTGTAGAATCAATATGTACTTCCAACCCCAAAAAATATGTAAGTGGACCAAGATACTTCATGTGAAAGGAAGTCTGTAGATGCTGCTGGAGTTGAGTGATCGACCTAGAATCCGTGCCAACGATAACAATATCATCCACATACACAAGTAAAAGAACAACACCAGTAGATGTCTTGCAAAAAAATAAGGGGGAGTCATACTGGCTCTGGATAAAAGAAAGCTGTAACAAAGTACATCGAAACTTGTCAAACCATGCTCGAGGAGCTTGTTTCAACCCATAAAGAAATTTCTTCAACTTACGTACTTGTGAAGAAAAAGAAGAAAGACTCGGAGGAGGTGTCATGTAAATTTCTTCCTTGATATCATCATGAAGGAAAGCATTTTTTTACGTCCATTTGGTGAAGAGGCCACCTGTGAGAGGCAGCAATAGAAAGAATAGTGCGCGCCGTAGTCATTTTTGCCATTGGAGCAAATATCTCATCATAATCTACTCCATGTTCCTGCCTATTTCCAAGAGCAACTAGGTGAGCTTTATAACGATCCAGAGTTCCATAAGAGCAAGCTTAATAGAATAGACCCACTTGCAACCTTTGACATTAGGTGGACAATGAACAATATCCCAAGTATGATTATCCTGAAGTGCCCAAAGTTCTTCATCCATAGTCTTCCGCCAACATTTATGTTTAGCTGCTTCTGAATAACTAGGTATAGATGTCAATGTAGTGGCAAATGAATGAAAAGAACCATATCTATCAGGCAGTCGAGAAATAAGGGTAGATCGTTGAGGATCCGGATTAGGAGGTACATCAGTATTTGATACCAACTCAGGCTTAGAAGAGAGTGGCTGGACAAGATCAGATGTGAGGCCAACTTCCGGAAGAGGCCTATTTGGTCGACGTCTCTCATACATGAGTCCAGGCTTGAATCTTTCAGGGTGAGAAGTCAAGTCATCAAAACATGGAAGAATACTAATTTCAGGCAAATGTTGAACATGAGTAGGAAAGAAAGATTGTTGCTCAAAGAAAACAACATTACGAGAAATACAAAATCTGTTAGAACATGGATCATAGCAAACATAACATTTGTGTGAAACGCTATATCCCATAAAGGCACACTCAACAGATTGTGCAGAAAGTTTGTGTCGTTCATGAGAATGTAAATGAACAAAACAAATGCATCCAAAAGTATGCAAGTCATGATAAGTAGGATGTTGATTATGAAGGCGATAATATGAAGATTCAAAATGTAAAATTTGGGAAGGCAATCTATTGATTAAATAAACTACTATGGACACTGCTTCAAACCAGAATTTTGGAGCATAGGAATCAAGTAATAATGTACGAACAACATCCAATAGATGATGGTTTTTCCGTTCTGCCACCCCATTTTGTTGAGGAGTATAAGGGCATGATCATTGAGCCAAAATCCCTTTTTGTTTTAAGAAATCACAAAACTCATGAGACATATATTCTCCTCCTGAATTAGATCGTAAAATTCTAATACTAGTAGAGAATTGGGTCTCAACATATGTCACAAAAGTCTTAAAAACTGAAAGTACTTTAGATTTAAAATGGAGAAAATAGATCCATGTGTATCGGCTATAATCATCAATAAAAGTCACGAAATATTTATACTGAGCATGAGAGATGACAGGCAAAATGCCCCAAACATCACTATGCACAATATCAAAGCTTTTTTGGCATGACCACTGTGAGAAGGAAAAGGAAGAATATTACTCTTTCCCGATTTGCATGTAGAACAATCAAAGCACAAATTATGAGAAGGATTGATTTTATTCCCCAACAAACCAGAATTTAACAAATAAGATAGGATAGTGGAGTTTGGATGGCCCAAACGTTTGTACCAAATATCACTTTTATTGTTAACGGTTATACAGGCCAAAGATAAACAACTTGGAATAGAAAAATGTAATGGAAACAATCGTCCAATTTTAGGCCCCTTTATGAGTATCTTTCCCGACACTTGATCCTGCACAAGAACACCATCACAAGAGAAATGGACATCATAGTTATCAACTAATTGACCAACTGAAATAAGATTTGTAGATAAATCAGGAGATATAAAAATGTCTCGAAAAGTAGAATTAATGTTACCAACAACATCAATAGTTAAATGACTCTCATTAGCTATTTGAATATGAGATGAACCTTGATATGGGCGAATGTCACAAAGACCGTCGGAGGAGCTGGTCATATGATTTGAGGCACCTGAATCAACTAGCCGAGATTGAGGTGAAGTATTATGTTTACCTTGAAGTTCCAAAGCAGAAAAAGTTGATGCAATCATTTGTTGCACCATTTCAGGAGTAAGAACGGGTTGCTCAACAACACCATTTCAGGAGTAAGAATGGGTTGCGCAGCAACAGAAGATACCTCAGGAGCTAGTGGATTGACAGAAACCTAATATGCATTGGCTTAGCGATCCTGACGTCGAACATGACAGTTTTTGATAATGTGTCCTGATTTCTTGCAGTAATTGCATGACCTCTTGGTACAATGAGTAGCAATATGCCCATAGTCTTTGCAGTTGAAACATTGAACTTTCCGTATGTCCCTTCCCTTGCTTTTCTTGTGAGCTGCACAGGCGACGACATTAGATGTCATGTGATATTGCTGAAAAGTGGCATGTGTTGTGAGACGCTGCTTTTCTCGAAGTAAATCCCCAAAACATACATCCAAAGAAGGAGGCGGATCACAATTCATCAAATTGCAGCGCGTAGCCTCAAATTCTGGTTGTAACTTCATTAGAAATTGATCACGTTTGCTTTGTTCATGAAAGCGGCAAGGGATTCAGGTGGTACTTTAGCATAGATAATATCAGTAAATTCACCCCATAAATTTTGAAACCCGGAAAAGTAATCTTGGATGTTGACATTGCCTTAAGTGTAATTTGCCATCCCATATTCCAATTGAAATCGTCTGGCTGTATGGTCTTGATTATAAACATTTTTCAAATACTCCCACATATCTTTAGTAGTTTTATATGGTCTCAGATTTAAAACAATCATAGAATCAACAGACCCTAAAATTCATGTCATTACTCTTGCATCTTCCACTGTCCATTGAGCCAATTTATTAGCCTCAATAGGAATTGGGTCACTTCCATTAATGTGACCCCATAATTCTTTTCTCATAACAAATAATCGAAATTGAAATTCCCATGCAGAATAATTTTTTGCCGTGAATCGCACACCAAAAAATTCAGAAATGTTGGTTGTCATGGTACTAACAATTAATTATATCAATAACAATCCTCAAATTAAATTTTTCCAAGACAAATGAATTAATTTGGTCCAATTAAGTTAGCGTAATAAATGCTGAACACTTGGCCCAAAGTCACCTCTAAAACAAATGAATTAATATGGCCCAATTATGTGACCTAATAAACACTGATATTGACCCAAATCAACACACGCAGCCCAAGACAAATTCACGTTAACTCACCAGTCATTGGAATCATGTCGAACCTACACAGATGACGCTGACTAATCACTGGAATCACATCGAACCCACACACAGAGGATGCTGAAATCGTGTCGATTGCACTTAGCTGCCGGACGAGAAGCTGCGTCGCTCACCCAAGAGACGCCGAAAAGGAGACTCCCAAAATCACGTCAAGCCTACACGCAGGGCGCTAGAGTCGCGTCGATTGCACACCAAGAGACGCCGTAAGGAACCCGCGTCACTACACACGCTAAAAATTTCTCACAGAGACACCGGAGATTCTCTGTAATCACCCACAACCAATTCCCCTATTTTTTCTATAGGTATTATGGCTCTGATACCATGAGAAATGTGTTCAACTTCTGTTTTTGACTTGATGATCCTCATTGTGAGGGTTCCTTTGTATATATAGGGATAATAAGGCATATTACACGGCCGAATGTCAACCACCACTATACATGTATGGAAAATGAGTAATTTTCTACCAATTATACAAAGCATCTTTTCTAATTGCTGGCTGTAAATTAGTTTTCCTATCTAATTGACAGAGGAGTCATCGCCCTCGGAGCTCGTCCGTCAAGTGTCAACCGACTCACATTATCCTCATTACAATTTAATATGAACTATTAATTTTGCATATGAATTTGTTTCCAAAAGATAATTTTAGTTTTCATATTTCCCATAATTAGTTCTTAAAAAATTGTTTAATTCTTCTAGGTAGCTTCAAACTGGTAGCTAATTCCAAAGGAAGGTCTTTATAAGTGGATTTATATCTTATGTCATCAAATTCTGATTTCACCTAGAAATGGTTGAATTTTTGTTTTGCATAAAACAATTGCACCCAAGATTTTTTTTTTTTTTTTTTTTGTCACAAACTATATAATAAATTTGGACTGCTGGTTCAAAAGGAAAACCAGGAACCGTTGTAGATACCAGTCCGGTTATTGGCCAAACCCGGAAAATTTAGAAAATGCTAAAATTACCTAAGAACCAGCTGGGTCGATCCCAAAACTGTCTGGTCACAAGAAATTTTTTTATTTACTCATTTTAACCATCGGCTTGACACTTTGGCTGTTGACTCTTTACATTTTCCGAGTCAATGCCAGGGATGATTCTTATAAAATTGGTGAAAACCCATTAAAAACTATCTACATAACCAAATCTAAACCGTAGCAATGGGTATCTATGGTTTTATTTGTAAAAGTTCTTTATTGATATATTTCAGTCAATAATGTAATTCATCAATTTCACTCACACTACAACATTGTTAATTACTCCTGTACAGGATACTGTTAAATATATGGAAAACCAGGTGCAAAAAGCCGGCGTCAGTGTTAAAAAGTTCTATTCAGAAGTCTTGCAAGATTTGATTCCTTCATCATGTGCGAAAGTAGCTGCAGATGACTTGTCTATGTACCCTTATTCTCGCACTGATATCAATAGGAAGCTAAAACCATGCTTAACAGAGAACTGGGGAGAGGTTAAGAATAAAACAACTGAGGATAAAGTTATTCATGCCATGGACACGTGGAAAATATCTCCGATAAGTGGACTTGAAGATGTAAACCATCTCTCCCCACTATCTTCTGGATTTCCTGTCCAAAATGCATGCTCTGAGGTCTATTCAGCAAAAGACAAAAAAATGGGCATCTATAAACGTCGTCCTATTGGCATCAAAAGAATTTCTGAGAAAAATCATTTGCCAAAGATATCTGAACCAATGACTCCGGTATCAGCTGAAAAGAACTCAAGTGACGTGGAAGCAAGTACAGAGTTAGTCTCACGGGAAAGATGTGATTCTGGAGAAACAGTGAATATGAATACACAGATCTTTGATCCTCCAATTGAATCTGTGGCTTCTAATACAATCCTATCAGTTGATCCTGTCAGGCGAAAGGATGACGATGCTCAGTGCATCTCATCTTGTCATGACTTGCCCTCAGAATCCATTGGTATTTATTCGTGGATGAGTTTTAGTGTGAATCCTTCTTTCTTTCTCTATGTGCGGTATGAACATTTTGCCCTTCGATAGGTACATCCATGAATGGTGGTACAGGGCTTCAATTAGGTTCAAATATTCAGAGTCATGCATGTAGTGCTGAATCTGGTGGCAAGGAGGTTACATTGTCTGATGAAGGTATGTGTTTTTCTTTATTTTATAGATGGATAATATAAAAGAGCTCTTTCATTGTCTTTTTGATTAAAAAAAAAGGAACCTATGAGTTACTTCGGTTGTTGACAAAATTCTTGGTTATTTCGCGTTGCTCTAATTAGTTACCCGTGTAGAGAAAACAATGAATGCATTAAGAATTAAATTCAATTTTAATGAGTTCAATATGGAACTTTTTGTAGGAAATAACTAAAGGAAAGAATTTCTTTTATAGTGTCAACATTGTTTCCTCCCTCAAATGGAGTAAAAAAAAAAATTGAAAACCAGTATGCCAAATGTTAGAAATTTTAGGTTCCTTGTGCTCGCCACGAGACAGCTCTAAAGATGACCAACACCGTAATGAATTGTAATTCCTTGATTCCGCTTGGAGGATGTAGTAAAGTTACAATGGATGCATGAAGAATTGTGAACAATGATAACGAGTCTAATATGGAACTTTTTTTGAACTCAAATACTGAAGACAGAATTTCCTTTATAGTGTAAATATTGATCCTTCCCTCAAATGGAGTAGAAATGGAAACCCATTTTACAAATGCTATAAATTATAGGTTTCTATACTTGCATTTGACGTATAACTGCATAAAAATAATGTTAATGAATCTTATTTCTTGATTTTCCCTTTGGCATGTTGTTCTGAAGTAATATCACGTGTTTTTCAAAATATGTGGAGGCCATTATCATGCTTCCATTCTCGTTCTCCCTTTTCTCTCTCGCATACGAACATACATTGACACAGAGAGAGAGAGAGAGAGAAACCCCAAAAGGGCTTGGATGTACCCACGTTAACAATCTGGTGCAGTAGGATCTCAACTGTTTCATTCTTTCAGCCTGATTCTTACGAAGATCGCATTTTTCTTTTCCAATTCTTTGTTGCTGTAGCCGCTAGAGTAAATTCATATAACATCGATATGGAGGTTGAGAATGCAGTCCTCGTTGAGCCTGGAGTGGATATCATCAAGCGAGTTACAAATACAAAGTTGGAGGAGTCTTGCATTTTAGTGGAAGGGAATGAGATTCATGTTGTTCCACAAGGCATAGGCAAACATAAATCATACAAGGTACTCTCTCTCTCTCTCACACACACACACACACCAGATATAAATCTGTATGTATGTGTATATGTGTGTATTTTGTTTCTTACTGAGTAGTTTCTCTCAGAAAAAGATAAGCGAAGCTCTCTCAACAAAATTGGGATCAAGAAAGAAACAAGAGTATGCCCAGTGCATTCCCCAGTCCAGATATTTAGGTGGAACGGGAAGTACAGAGATCGTGATTCCTGATCGTACCCCGGACTTTGAGGAAAAGAAATTGCCAGCACAAGATTTTTGCGAATCCGACTGGGAGTTCCTCTAGATATTCTGCTGCAAGTGATGCTGCTTTCCCTAGAGACATATAACTGGTAATGAAGATGCTATCTTGATATGTCAACGGCAGCCAAATGTATCATAGTTGAAATCATATTGTATATGGAATGAAAAATTGTGTATTGATGCTTGAAAAGCAATATCCTATGATACACTTAAAATCTAAGCGTTAAGTAGTTTGTGGCCGATTTTTAGTATTTGTATCTTACATATGTGTCACTCTCCTGGATAAGTTATAAATGAAAGTTCTGGTTGATATTATTTTTTCTCTTCGATTTCCCATCTCAATGTTTTGTAGCTTATTTGCAAATTTCAGCTACTATAACAGCATTTGTAATCATAGTGTAAAATATATCAGATCTTCTAAGTGGACAAAAACCACTCCAATGGAAACATGCAAAAAAAAATGCAAATTTCATTTTTTAGCAGAAAGTGTAAAATATGTGTAAATTTGCATTTTTTCTTAAAAACGTGTAAATTTACATTTTTTCTTACATCCACGAGAGGCGAAAAGTAGATTTAAATCTTTTTGTTGGAAAAAATCTGAATTTGGTTCCACCAGATGCAAATGGGCAAGGCCAGCCATGCTATTTTGGAGGTATTATGTCAAATTTCAAATATGAAGCCCCTGTCAATTTCAAATATGAAGCCCCTATATTTTAAGTCTTTTTACGTAGAATTTTAATATAATATGAAGAATCTAATACAGGTAACTAACTTCCAAAATTTGAAAAGGACACATGCAATACAAATTATAAGTGAAGTTTAATAAATAGAATTACAATGCATTGGCAACGGGTCTGTTCGTTTCTTTAATCATTTTCTCTCTGCAATTATTTCAAACAAAATTGAATATACATTTAAGTGATTTATGTACAAAATTGGAAAATGTTGATCATGAGAGATAGTGTAACAAAATAATGGAAATGAAGATCAAATATAAATGTGTTTCTAATTTTATATTATAACTAGTTTTTGACACGTGCGTTGCACGAGTTTTGTATTTATTTTATTTTTATTAGCGTCAAAATTGTAGATTTTTCAAAAGTAGTTGAAGATTCGAAGTATTTAGTGAAATCAAATCGTTTGGTTCATTATATTATCACAGGATGCATGGAGATTTCTTTTTCGTTTTTTTAATTTTTTCCTCATTTTTTTATTTTTTATTTGTTTTGTTCATATTATAAATATTTTTTTTTCGAGTTAAAATCCTTTCTAATTCTTTTTTCTTTATGAAAAAACTTAATTTTTTCAATTTTAATTAAATAATATTTATATGTTCTTTATTTAATTTTCGAAACATTCTTTTGTTTAATTTGTTTTGTTTTCATTATATATTTTTTGAAGATTGTTTAAAAAAATAATTTTCTTCATAATTTTTTGTTTGATTTAAAATTCTTTTCCTTCTATGATTCAATTTCTTTTTTCGTCATATTATAAAAAAAACTAAATGATTTAACAAATTAAAGATATTAGCGTCAAAATTGTAGATTTTTCAAAACTAGTATCTGAAGTATTTGGTGAAATCCAATCGTTTGGTTCATCGGATTATCGCAGGATGCATGGAGTTTTCTTTTTCGTTTTTTATTTTTTCCTCATTTATTTATTTTTTATTTCTTTTGTTCGTATTATAAATATTTTTTTCTATTTAAAATCCTTTTTAATTCTTTTTTCTTTATGAAAAAATTTAATTTTTTTCAATTTTAATTAAATAATATTTATATGTTCTTTATTTAATTTTTGCAACATTCTTTTATTTAATTTGTTTTTTTTTATTATATTTTTTTGAAGATTGTTTTAAAAAAAAATTGTTCATATTATAAATAATATTTTGTTCGATTTAAAATTCTTTTTGTTCTATGATTAAAATTCGTTTTTCTTCATATTATAAAAAAAACTAAATTATTTAACAAATTAAAGAAGAAAAAATTGCAGGCAAAAATAAAAAAAGAAGTTATTATAAAGTTTTTAATTAAAAATAAATTTTATTTAATTAAAATTTAAAAAATGAAAAATGAAAAATGAAAAGAATTTTAAATCAAAAAATAAATTATTTATAATACAAAGTAATTTTTTTTAAAAATATAATAAAAATAAATCAAATTAAAAAAAAAAGTTGCGAGAATTAAATAAAGAATATATAAATATTATTTAATTTAAATTAAAAATTTAAATTTTATCATAGCAAAAAAAATTAAATAGAATTCACTCAACTTTCAAATGAGAGAATTCAAACTCTCGAAAGGAGATATTCTCTTTGTTTCTCTTCGTGGATGAAGAAGAAAAAAAATTTCCTTAATTATTTTTTTCAAATTTTTTTCATATTATAAATAATTTTTTTCGATTTAAAACTGTTTTTAATTCTTTTTTCTTTATGATTAAACTTTAATTTTCAATTTTAATTAAATAATATTTATATATTCTTTATTTAATTTTTGTAACTTTGTTTTCTTATATATTTTTTGAAAATTGTGTTGAAATTCTTTTCTTCATATTATAAGTGAATAATTTTTTGTTCGATTTAAAATTCTTTTCGTTTTATGATACAACGTAATTTGTTCAATTTTAGTTAAGTAATATTTATTTTTAATTATAATTATTTCAATTTAGCTAAAAAAAAAACTTTATAATAACCTTTTTTCGTTTTATTTTTATTTTTGCCTGCAATTCTTTTTTTCTTTAATTTGTTAAATCATTTAATTTCTTTAATTATTAAAAGTCTCAGAAAATTAGAACCTAAAATTATAGCTAAAACAAATTATTCCAAAAGACAAAAATGACTCACCTATTAAGAGGCAGAGGCTAAAGAAAGGCAAAGTGGGGGGCCACTCCACTGGTACTGTAGTTGTAATATTTTCACATAACCCACATATTACCACGCCCTAAAAGACAACAAAAATCATGCACAAGCAACACAGACAGTGTATTAAATATACAAAAAAATTAGGAGCTTACTTGTTAAGAAGTAAAGAGACAGCTAATATATAAAGACATCATCGGACGATTCCAGTCTTAGTTTCTTGGAACGAATCTTGCAAGAAAGGGTTAGGACCTTAGTCCCCAATGGGGTTTCTTTTTAGCCGTCACTCACAGTAAAATTTCATCAACTGAATTTTCAAGCTTTCTTCTATTCCCAATATAAACATTTTCCATTCTTATTGAACAATGACCATTTTCCATGAACGTTTCATTTGTAGTCGTTTCCTTCACATGAATATATAACCGAAGAATGAGAATTTGCTAAAATGTTTTATATTTAGTGAACTACATCATATACCACCTAACATTTGAAATAAAAAACCTCTCTTTGAGCTACAAAATTTTTACAATAGTACATAAACTCGTTGCAATGAAACTGGTCTCAAACTTTTCAAACATGCTTATAATATGAGTAATCCTTTCAATCACCTATACCTTAACTATTAGTTCAACTACAAATCCGTCAACACCAAATATTTCCTTACTACTATAAAACACTATACACATAATTATCTAAAGTACAATTGTTCAAACATAAAAAAAAAAATCAGAAGATAATGTACAGTAAAAATGAATTATTTGTAAAAGAAAAATCACCTTCAAACAAAGCAAAAATGAAATCAACATGCCTGAAGTCGATAATCTTCAATTTGTACGTTAATCTGCTTTTTTCTGTCTACAACTTTCACAATAGTCCAAACAAAGTCAGAACGAAAGAATGAAAACTTCAAAGTGGACAAGAACACAAAGAAACAAAAAGAATAAAAAAAATTATAAATGAACAAACTTGAGGTCCTCAGAGCCCAGTTTCTAGCGAAATTTTGTGGTATTTTGGTAACAATTTTTTAAATTCTCAAAAAAAAAAAAAAAAGCTGGAAGATTCACGAAAAAAAATACAAAAGAACATACCTAAACTCCAATTTCTTTTGAGATTTCACAGTATTTTGGGAGTGATTTGTTAAATCTCACAAAAAACAAAAATCAAGATTTAACAGCAAAATATATAGCAGAAGAAATTGAAGGTTTAAAGATTGGATATACAGGTAATCGTCTCAATTGTGCGTGAAGTTGTTGGATATTTTTGAAACAATCAAGAGAGGGAGATTGAAATTAAGGTTAAAGGCCGAGAGAAATCAGTATCGTAGCAACGCAAAGTAAAAGTGAAATTAGGGTTAAATGCAAAAAAAAAAAAAAAAAAAAAATTGTGTTTTAAATGAAAAGAATTAAGAAGAATTTTAAACCGAAAAAAATATAATAAAAGAAAGTTACCAAAATTAAATAAAGAATATATAAATATTATTTAGTTAAAATTGAAAAATTAAGTTTTATTATGGAGAGAAAAGTGTTAAACTGAATTTTAAACTGAATTTTTTTTTATAATGTAAAAAAAAAAAATTATATATATCTCCATGCATGGAGACATTTTTTTTTTTTGCTGTATGGTTTTACGTTATAAATATTTTTTTCAATTTATAATTCTTTTCTCTTCAAATTTTTTACTTACAAGTAACTTTTGTAAAATATTTTTTGTCTTATATTATCTTTATTTTTAAATTTTTTTATATAAAAGTAAAAAAAATTTCTTATATCCTTACACTATATATCTATATAAAAGTGGTTGAGCGCGGAGTGGTGGGGAGGTATGAAAATTGCGTGTTGTAGTGTTTTCTTACGGTATAATAAAATATATATCAAATAAGACAAACGACGTCGTTTTGCTCCTCCACTTAGAAAACAATAAAAAACAAAAAAGTTACAGTGAGACAAAATGGATTAAGTCACTGTTGCTTTCTACAGTAACTTCACATTCTCCTTTTTATATAGTAGGAATAAATTAACTTACAAATAAAAAGTATGAACACGGATAAAGAATTATTAAATTCAAAATACCCTCAACAAACGTTTAAAAATGCTATTATCATGAGATTAAAGTAAAGCAATAATAATAATGGTCTATATATTCTATAGTATATGTTTTGAAGATAGGGAAGAAAGAAAGAAACATGTAAGATTGTAACAAAGGCAAGAGATCAAATCAATCAGCTAAATTTAATCTTCAAGATTTTAATTCAATGGAGATAATTTATTTCTTATCGAGTTAAAAAAATTATGATGGGTGACCATTGAATATGGAACTTTGAAAAGATAAAGGAGACATTTTGTTTGGTTAAAAAAAAAAAAAAAAAAGAATGTTTAGAAGATAAATCGCCAAACTAGTTAGAGAGAGCGTGTGATGTTTGTGATATATTTATGTGATAAATAAATGTAAGTAATAAGTTTTAGAGGT